CGGTTATTCTGGGCAGAGCCGCCAACTCCCCCTTCCTCCTCCTGGGAGAGGAAGCTGAAAGCCCTGGCCGTCCAGCGCTCTTGGCCCGATGGGGAGTGTTGCTGGTCAGCTCTCCCATCCCTTCCTCTACAAAGCCTCCCCGGCGGTCGTGCCCTCTGGGTCCCCCCACCGCCCCCGGTCCACCCCGTGCGGGGCCGGTCCCTCCCGGCGCCCGTGCCGCCTGCTTTCAGTTTGCGCTTTGGCGCGCCCGCCCCCCCGGCCCGGCCCGCGGCCCCCGCCTTCGCCCTCTTCCCTTTCTTTCCCCGCGCCTTTGTCTCCGCCTCGCTCCCCCTTTGTGTCTCTGGGAAGACTCGGCCTCAGATACCAGCGACCCCACCCGGCCGGCTGTCGGTGACCCCACAGGCCCCCGGGACGCACGGCCCGCTGCCCTGCGGACAGCACGTTTGGGGAAGAAGTTAGTGGCAGTGAGGCCGCCACCCTCACACTTGGCACCTTGCCCGCTCCCTTTTCCTTCCCCCCGCAGCTCCCCCTGTCCTCTTCACCTCCAAGAAGGAGGACCTACTGCTGGCTCTATCGCTTTGGCCTAAAGTAGTTTTTCTCCCCTTTCCGAATGCATATTTGCGGAGCATAGCCGCCCGCTCTGGCTGCTAAGAAGAGGCTGATCAGCGGGTGCAGCGGCGCTGGTAAGGAAATGAGGTGGAGAGAGAGACACACACGCTGGCTTTGAGATAGGTCGTTGCCGGCGAACATTGAAGCTACTGGGATTCATTTTCCTGGGCCTCTGTCGCTGTGCCGTGCGCTGGGGCAGCCACTGGCCGCATGTGGCTGTCGAGCACTTGGAAATGTGGCTAGTCTAGATCGAGATGTGCCTGCCGTCAGGGCAAAATACAGTCTCTATGAGAAAAAAGAATGTAAACTCCCAATTTATTTAAAAATACTGCTTGGATATTGAAAAGATAGTATTTTGGGTGAAGTAAAATATATTATTAAAATCTGTTAATTCTGTTTCTTTTTACCTTTTCAAAAAGTGTGACTACAAAGAACATGTAAAATGACATTTGTGGCTCACATTGTATTCCTGTTGGACAGTGCTGGTCTAGAGCCTTAAGCCCCAAGGAGCTTTCCTCTAGCCATGTCCTCTCACCTGCCTGCAGGTGCTTTGGAACAGGGCAGGGACAGAGGGAAGTATCAGACGCCCAGGAAAACAATTAGAAAATCGTCGGGATTATTACTGAAACACTGAGGAGCAGCAGAGGCTTAGATTGCGTGAACTAGCTGTCCCGCTCCCTTCGTTCACTGTAAGGAGAGCCCCGCACTCCCACCCCAGTCATGCCACAATTCCAGGGCCCAGCCGTCTGTGTGTGAAGTTGGGCCTCTAGGAGTGGTTTGTGCCTTTTAGGAGTTATTTGTCGCACACTAAACTTGCTGACATGCCGTTTAGAAGAGTGAATACTGTGTATGCACTGTAACTACTATTTCATAAGGATTTTTGGTGTACATTGTTCCTCAGCATGACAGGCTGCAGAGTAAGGGCTCCCCGAGTATGCATTGACACGATGCGCTGCAAATGATCCAGGCATGGGGGCGTCCCCAAGTGGGCACTGACTCCACGCTCGGCCGTGGCTCCTACAGGGCTTTTATGGCGCAGCTTGCCAATGATCCGTGCATTAAAGACTCCCCAAGTACACATTGGCACGATAGACTGGAGTTGTTTGGGTCTACCATGGCAATGATCCGGGGATAATGGCGGTGTCTTACGCACTTTCATTGAGGTTGGAGTGCTCCTGGTCCTAACGGCAGAACCGGAACTGCCCCAGTTACGTCCCATTGGGACTCCTGGTGCAGAGTGCATGGGTCTTTGACCTCCTGCATCATGACGCTGGCACTGCTAACACTTGTTGATGTTTTCACTGACGCGATTGAGTTAGCCTTTTTTTTTTTCTTTTTCAAACGTACTTTTGTAATTCACTTCCTGGATTGGGTGGGGGGAGTCCATGTACTGATGGTTTCATCTGGTTAATAATAAGCTGAAGACCTCGGAAAGGTCGTATGTAAAGTGTAAAAGAGGTTTAGAGAGAGTAAGTTTGGGAGATGCATATGACTTTCAGAGTTAATATGGAATAAATAACTTCAGTCCTGAGAAAAATCTAGTTGGCTAAACTGAAATAGATAAAACAAGAAGGTGGTAAAAAGATGGAAGACACTTTTAGAAATCATAAAAAGCATATATTTTATAGTAAAGTAATTCAAACACTGCCAGCGTATGAACTAAAAAAATAAAATTCTCTGGTTTCTTTCTGACTTCTATACCAGCCATTGTTATAACCTCTGTTAATATTTTGGGTATATCCTTTTAGTAATTTGTATACATATACAAATATATGTATCATTTGTTTGTTTACACAAATGGGATAATGCTAAACAATACCCTTCAGTGCTTTGAATTTTGAATTAATAATATATCAAATGTCTCTCCTCAGCACATTTAATCTCTTGCATTCTTTGTAGTGATTGCATGGAATTCCAGGGTATGGATGTAACCTTTTTTTTTTTTAATTTTTATTTATTTATTTATTTGAAAGGGAGAGAGAGAGAGAGAGCATGAGCAGGGGGGAGGGGCAGAAGGAGAAGCAGATTCCCCACTGAGCAGGGAGCCCCATGCGGGGCTCGATCCCAGGACCCCAGGATCATGACCTGAGCTGCAGGCAGATGCTTAACCGACTGAGCCACCCAGGCGCCCCTGGATGTAACCATTTAAAAATTTATGTTATTTCAACCATTGCTGCAACGAATATACTTATACATTTGCAGATTTGTGCAAATATGTTCATAGGGTAAATTTTTAGCAGTGGAAGTGCTAGGAAAAAGAGATGTACATTTAAAATGTTGATGCATAGGGGCGCCTGGGTGGCTCAGTTGGTTAAGCGACTGCCTTCGGCTCAGGTCATGATCCTGGAGTCCCGGGATCCAGTCCCACATCGGGCTCCCTGCTCAGCGGGGGGTCTGCTTCCCCCTCTGCCCTCTTCCCTCTCGTGCTCTCTGTCTCTCATTCTCTCTCTCTCTCAAATAAATAAATAAAATCTTTAAAAAAAAAAATGTTGATGCGTATTTCAAGTTGGCCGCTAGAATGATTGTACTGTCTTTTTTTTTTTTTTTAAGTAGGCGCCCTGCCTGGAGCCCAACACAGAGCTTGAACTCATGACCCCGAGATCAAGACCTGAGCTGAGATCAAGAGTTGGATGCCTAACCGGCAGAGCCACCCAGGTACCCCATAGAAAGATTATACTGTCTTATACTCCAACTAACAGTATGTGTGCCTATTTTCCCACTCCAGGCCAATACAATGATTATTTATCATGGGGGACACTTCTAATGTGTGCGAGTGAATTTTCCCATCATGTTTTCTGCACAACTTTATGGTGAGAGCCCAGCCCTGGGGGCTGTGATAAATGCAGTGAAATGCAGAAGTCAGACTACAAAGTAGGAAGTCCTGTTAGTCAAGATAAAAAGCGATTGCTCCACAAAACACACCAACATCAGTTGAATTTTATAATAGCCTATCAGTATGGGAGAGTTGGAATTAAATCACGTTAATTCATCATTCAGGAAATATTTGCTGAGAAGTTGTAAGTGACTTTTCCACTGGATTGTAAGCCCCTTGAGAGCAAAAGTTTTGTCATGTTATCTTTGTGGCTTCTACAGATTTATGGAGTGAGGCCTGGCCTCAGGTTGTTTTTATTGTTGTTACTGTTTATTTGCTTGTTTTAATTTGGCCATTTATTGTCCACTGCATACGTGGCTATATACCAGGCTCTACCTGAGGCTGGGGATTCAAGATGGCTGACACTTAATTCTTCTAGCAGCTCACAGGAGGAGACACAGGGGAATGTAAACCAGTCTGAAAATTCACATAATATGGGCAAAATGAACAATAAGCAGCTAACTCTGATGGAGTAAATAGTTTCCTCAAAGTTTATCTGAGCTGGGTCTTGGAGGAGGATTAGGGAACCGTTTCCATAGCAACAGGGTAGGATTTCTAGACAGAGGAAACCACAATTGTGGTTGTGGGGAATGCTGGTGTGAATGGCTCACAGAGAGGAAGGGGAGCAGAAAGGAAAGCGCTGCCTACTTCCGAGGAGGCATTGAGTCAGTCATTCTGGAGCATGAAGGGAGTGAGGCATAAGGAAGAAGTGGGGTTCTCACTCAGGCTCTAAATCTGAATTGCAGTGGGGCATTCAAAAGTCATGGAAATCCTCTAGCTTCAAAGTGCCACATTTGTAAAATGGAACATGTAGGCTACGTAATTTCTAAAATATTTCTAAAATTCTATCGCCTTTGAGCTACAGGATTTGAACTTGCCTGCAAGGACTTTATTTATCTTTCGTTCTGTGTGCCAAGGAGCACTGTGTGATATTTCAGGGTGTTCCTTTAAGATGGTAGGAAGTGGCTCGTTGTAATTTGCTGGAACTAACTACCATGGCCACTTACTGTGATCTCAAGACTGCATATACTTTTTAGTAGTCCCGCCCCCCCCCCAAAAGATACTAATGAGAATGAAGAAGAAAACAAAACAATAGCAGGCAGTGTAAATCTTTTGATAATTACTCCTCGGATGCAACTAGATCATATCTTTACTGGAAGTTGGACAGACACTGCTTAAATTGTTTCTCCGAAGTATATTGCAGAGTTGGATGTCAAGTGTCCTGTTTCTTGGATTCATACGCTGAATAAATTTCGTAAGATTTGATAAGCATGCCATCCATGTCCTTGTCTGTGGCAGGGTGAAACTTTGGACTAAGGCAACATCTAAAGACAGAGAGAACCCTGTGGCTTTTTTATTAGAGACCTCCCTCCAAGCTGATACCAGTACTCTTTGAGAATTATTAGCCAGTTCATCTTGCCCAAAAGAATGAGAGACTTGGTTTAAGTCTGTGCTGACTTCCAGATGAACTTTACGTAATTCCCCTAATTTTTAGGCTCAGGGTTTTCCACGTTGTATTTGAGGCTATGTAGAAGAAAACAAAATAAACACAAGCAGACTTCCCCTAGGACCAAATATGTGGCACAATAACATCTCTTGTGACCAGTGACTAGCCTAAGATTAGGAAGTTAGATGAAATGATTGAATTATGGAAGAAGGATGTCCTGTCATCCCTACTGGTCCCTGTTCAGTGTCTTGAATTTTACAAATGAAAGCAAGAGGTCTGAGAGGCTCTGCTGAAACCTCACAGGGTTGAGTCATCTGCCCCACATGTTGATGTTGGGGATTTACAGCAAAGTTTCCCATGAGATCACCTCCTATGTGGAATCCTTGGCAATGACCTCCAAGAGGAACTCCTGACAAACCAAATTTGCTATTTTCATTGGCATGGAACAAAGCCTGGGTGATGAGAATAAATTTCTAATTTTCTCAGATATCAAACAGAAGCACAAGGTTGTTGAGAGTATGAAGAAAGAGAATTCTTGCTGTGTAGGTAAGTAGGTGGCAATCACTAATCATTGTTGGGATTTTGGGGACATGCAGTCCTTGTTCAGACAACAGTCTTTCACAGTGATTTACTCCCAGATTCCATGAGGAGAGTAAACATTGTTTTGAAGGAATGGTCATTGTGGAAGAATGTGTCCCTTAACCAGTATGAGGTAGAGCAACTGGCAGAGCACGACATATGTTCTTCAGGTGTCTGGAGCTCATGTATTTGTATACCAGCAAAGACCAGAAGGTCCAAAAGTACACACCTGAGAGTCGTGAGCAACAGGTAAATGCTAGTTGTGAGGGCCTGACTGGTAAGACATCACCCTGGAATTTTTTCATGGCCATGATTTACCAAGATTATTGAGATTAACTTCATAGTAGTTGTATAGTTGATATTTCTGAAACTCTGTTGTGATTGTGAAGTTTGATTCCTTCTTGGGGAAGCTTGGGAAAGAACAAAATTATATCACCTAGAATTGATGTCCAAAAATTTTTATGTGCTTATGATCTAGCAAAGTAACTAGATCATGTCTAGGTTGTCAATAGGAACTAATCAAATGATGAATGAAGAAGGAAGGAAGGACTCAATGTTAGATAAAATATAAAAAGCTAACAGAATTGTTTTTACCTAGTATGACAATACCTACTTATAAAGAGAGAAATTACTGCAAGCCTAAATATGTAGGTGGTAGGACCTAACTGCTTGTCACTAAAACATGAAAAAAGAGAAAAAAATTAGAAACAGTGATCAATTTCTAAGGCCATCACATCCTTCGAAAAACCTAATTATAGGAAGATCTCTCAGAGTAGACCTCATTTAAATCCAGACGTGTCATCAATTGACTTGAAATCTTAAGTTTCTATTCCAACAAAATAGATTTGAATAAATCACACATACCTTGTGAACTGTACTAGTGTCTCAATACTTAAAGCCTGTGAAGCTCCTAACAGTGAAATTAAAACTGAGGAGGGAACGAAGAGCCAATAGAAACTTGGAAAAGTCATTCCAAATTTATGAAAAAAAGAACAGATTGTCAAGATAAAGCAGGAAAGTTCCATTAAGGAATTCAATTTTTTTTTTCACCTTAGGAGACATATATGGCATCTTCAGTAAATGAAATTCGGACTATACGCAGAAGATTGAATTCCTACAAAGGTCATTTAACTGCAGAAGACAGAGCCCATACTTCACATCATAGAGCTATGGAGAATGCAATGTCATACACAGAATTGGTTTTCTGGCATAAAATGTAAGAGAGCTTGAGGATAAAACCTAGATAATAAGTTTTATTTGGCACCAACATTTTAACATCGGATCTTAAGAGGCCACCAAAACTAGGAGACAGAGAAAGCAATTCTTCAGTGGCCAATGGAGCTGCTTTAAGAAGCACCAGATCTTTCTTCATCTCCTGCTGAATTCAAGACAGTCTCTCAGTGTACTTTTTTGCAGGGTAAAATGTTCTGTAATTGGAGATGCTACTATGATAGTTTTCGAAGTGAGATTAACAGGTGAGACACATCAAGACGCTTGTTAAATTTTAAGGGCAAATTCCTTTACCCCTTTATCAGCAGTAAAACCTTCCCAGATGATTCTTAAGCACATCCAACTTTGAGACCTCCTGTGGTTAGGGTTGCAAAGTGTGATCTAAAGTGATTGCTCTGTTCCTTTAAATATTGAAAGTTATATATTGGAGGAAATAGGCATGGTTAAACAAATATTTCATTTAAAAAATAAAAAGTTTTATTATTTTTCTTGGTAGAAAAATGGTATATGTTCATTGTAAAAAAACAAGTGTTTTTTTGGAAAATACAAAGAAAGTATTTTATACACTCTTTAGATTATGATATTAACTCTTTGCAAATCATGTTTGTTGCAATTATTTTTCTGTTCGTCATTTGCTTTTTTTTATTACAGGGATTTTACATTTTTTTAATGAAATAAAATGTATCAGGTTTTCCCTTTTCATTTCTGGCCTTTGACTCATGATAAGAAAGACTGCCATTTTTCCTGGATAATAAAAATCTTTATTCTTTTTTCCGCTATTACTTTTACAGTTCCAATTTTTACATTTAAATTGTTGATCCCTCTGGAATTTAACTCAGTATAAAGAATGAGACTAGGATCCAGCTCTATTTTTTCCAAATGGCTAGCTAGTTTTTTCAAGATCATTTCTTGAATAATTTATCTTATTCCCACTGATATAAAGTGCTGCTTTTATTATGTACTAAATGTCCATATATACTTTCTGGGCTCTGCCATGGTCATTTGATGGCTCCGTACATTTCTGTGCCAGGACCACACATTTTAATATCTCATTACTATTCATTTTTAGAATTTTTCTGGCTATTTGAGTGTTTATTCTTCCAGATAGATTTTAGAATCATTTTTTAAGGGTTCAAAGAAGATCCTTTTGGGATTTTCATTAGAATTGCATTTTATATATAGATTACTTTGGGGGGAGAATTGGTTTCTTCACAATTCTGAGTCTTAGGTGAGAATGTCCCTTTGTGAGTGTGTATCACAGATTTTGCCTGTTTCTCATGATGTTTGTTTCTGGGTGTTTTTGTGGGTTTTGTTGGTATTATGATTAATCATATGGTTCTTAGGTATGTGCTACCCCTCTGCCATTGACTGTAAGCTCAGAGCTGGATTGTGGTGTTCTAGGGAGTTGCTATGCAATAGAAGCCTACCAAGTGGATCTTTCACGTAACTTCCAGGTTGCCATGAGGGTAGATTCTCCTCTCTGAGCTTCTTTTCTCCATCTGTAAAACAGGAAACCTGGCAAGAATCTGTAAGCATCAGTGATGCTACCTGAATCACCTTATATAGGGCTTAGCACTTAGTGAGTCCTCAGATATGGGAACTATTTGAGGGCCAGGTTAAGCAGTTCATTTCAGAATTCCTCACAAGGTTGAGTTACCTTGAAGCCTTCAAAAACATATCCATAGCCCGCAGATTTTTAAAAACTGCTCTTCATGGTGTGCCTGGGTGGCTCAATTGGTTAAGTGTCTGCCTTTGGCTCAGGTCATGATTCCGGGGTCCCGGGATGGAGCCCCGCCCGGGTCAGGCTCCCTGCTCAGCGGGAAGTCTGCTTCTCCTTCTGTCCCTCCCCCTGCTCCTGCTCTCTCTCTCTCTTCAATAAATAAATAAATCTTTTTAAAAAAAGCTCAATAAAAGCACTGTTCTAACACCCTTCCTTCCCAGCACCCCCACCCCCCATGATAGCATATTTGATGTGAATAGGAGATCTCATACAATGACTGTCTAGTTCTGAGCAAGATCATTGCTGAAAGGTTTGGTCCCAGCCGCATCACAATGGGAGGCCTGATTCTATCTTCTTACACTGTTAATTAATGGTTGCTTAGGGAATTGGGGGAGGGGCTTCAATGTGTTAATGGCTTAGAAAAATACATCTGAGGTACACAGACCATTTGGAGTACCCAGTTAAGGATGATTTGCCACCTATAGGAGAGCTTAAAGAAGGCTTTCACAAACATGGGCATTCAGCTACACCAGTAGTTAGCCCCACATTCTTAATGGCATAATCACCAGCATAACCAATTCAGCATAATGGCCTGTTAATACTGAAACAATTACTTTGGATAATAAAATAACACTTTTAATTTGCTTGACACCAAATTCGACCTATGTGGATCATCTGATGGTGAGGTGAGGGGAAAGGGAGTCTGTTGAGTTCTAAATACATTATAAAGCGATAACACTTAATGTACATAATGTACTTCAGGTCTGAGATGCTTTAAATGGCTAAGTGGAAAAATCAAACAGTTATCAGAATATACTGTTGCTTTGGAATTTGCCCAATACTTCATAATTTATGTACTGATTTCCACAAGTTTCTTAGGAAGAAATGGTTAAACCCTGAAGTTGATGTACTTTGATTAAATTTGCTCATTTTATTATTTTTTTAAAAGATTTTATTTATTCATTTGTGACACAGAGATATGGAGAGAGAGAGAGAGATCATGAGCAGGGAGAGAGGCAGAGGGAGAGGGAGAAGCAGGCTCCCCACTGAGCCAGGAGCCCGACGTGGGGCTCAATCCCGGGACCCTGGGATCGTGACCTGAGCAGAAGGCAGACACTTAACCATCTGAGCCACCCAGGCGCCCCAAATTTGCTCATTTTAAACACCTACTGTGGGAAGTGCTGTGAGAGATACAATCAGTACATTTTTGTTGAGTAAAAAATAATGCCGTGTTCTAGGAGGAAAATGTAAATTAATTGCTGCACGATCTTTATATCTATTTTTCAGACACTATAAACTGTTTTTATTCTGTGCTTTTTTAAATTGAATTTTTAAATATATTTTTTTTAAGTTTATTTAAGTAATTTCTACTCTCAATGTGGGGCTCTAAATCACAACCGCGAGATCAAGAGTTGCCCACTCTTGTTACTAAGTCAGCCAGGTGCCCCTAATTGAATTGTTTAAATTTTCATCCATTGTTTTAAAAATCTTTTGGGAAGTAGGTGAGCTTTAAATCCTAAATATTTCAAAAGCCTCCCTATATATACCTCCTAAGTGGGTGACCAAGGTGGCCATCTATATTTTGGTCTCATAGTTTGTTAGTGTAGGCAAGGACCCTTGTTTTTTCATTTGGAAGGAGAAGAGCTGGGACCAAGCTTCTGAGGCACATACCATATATATTAGGGATTCCAGTTGGCCACTTCAGTTGCCTGATTTCAAAGTAATATTCCTAATGCATTGCTGATTGAAATTTGACAATTAATGCCTTTTTGCTAACTATGTCTCTCATTAAAAGGCAAACGCTCCCTGGAAAATATTATGAGTTATTAGTCATTTACAACTTAGAATGAATTTATAACAGTTTTCTTTTTTTAAGTTTTTTTTTTTTTAATTTAACAGCGATAGAGAGCACAAGTAGGCAGAGCGGCAGGCAGAGGGAGAGGGAGAAGCAGGCTCTCCACTGAGCAGGGAGCCTGATGCGGGGCTTGATCCCAGGACCCCGGGATCATGACCCGAGCCGAAGGCAGACGCTTAACCGACTGAGCCACCAGGCGCCCCGAATTTATAACAGTTTTCTTAAAATAAGGAGATATTAATAAGTATGTTAAGGAAAAAAATTGATGCTAGCTAAAGTCATCTACCAAATTATAATTAAAAACCAGATAGTTTATAGAATCCTTTTTTTAAAAAAAGATTTATTTATTTATTTATTTATTTATTTATTTATTGGAGAGAGAGAGTGCATACAAGTGTGCCGGGGAGAGTTGTAGAGGGAGAGAGAATGCCAAGCAGACTCTGTGCCAAGTCCGGAGCCCGACGTGGGGCTTGATCCCATGACCCTGAGATCACGACCTGAGTCAAAAGCAAGGGTTGGATGCTTAACCAACTGCGCCTCCCAGGCGCCCCAGAGTCCTTTCTTGATAGCAGATATTGATGTGTTAGAGATAAGATTATACCGGATATATCTTACTCTTGTTTTCTATTTAGCATTGTATCTGTTCTTCCAATGACTGTATACTATTCCAGTGAATGGCTTCACCAGAATTATTGTTCTGTTCTTCTACTGTTAGACGATTGCATCTTACTGATTTATAATATGAAACATGCTTTTAGGTCTGCGAACTACCTTTTTATAAATGTCTTTGCTTCCTTTTTTTTTTTTTTTTTTTTTTTAACTTTGGGCTTTCCTTCTCTGAGATGTACCTGTACATACAAACACCAATCATTGTTAAGTGGCCCTCTTGCCTTTTAGGATTAGGGGGCTACACATAAAGTGTCCTACATCACTGCTGTTCAAAGTGTGGTCTGTGGACCAGTGCATGTCTGTGAACTGTTTGTTACTGGTCCACAATGAGAAAAACACATAAATTGAGAGGAAGTGTTTAGATCTTAAAATTTCATAGTGTTTTGACTTTACTACACCATCCAAGAAGTGGTCAGAAGATTATCTTATAGGATATTGAGCAGGTTGGGTTCTGAGTCTTGCGTGGTGGGAATCTATAGGCATATTTGAACTCTGTTTAATGGCAGATTGCACAAAACAAACAAGCAAACAAACCAGTTCTTCACTTTGCACAGGCTGAGAAGCACTGTCCTAGGTCAGAGTGGAGAATGCAAGCAGCCAAGGTCTTGAAAGCTCCATAAACCCTCACAGTGGGGAGGATAGGACAATAGTCAGAAGACAGACTTGGTTCACATCCAGTTTTGCTTCCTAATTAGCAATTACTAAAATTACTAAAGTGTTCTGTGCCTTGGTTTCCTCATCTGTAAAAGTAAGAGTAGAATTAACTTTGTAATATGATCCTACAGAGAAATGACTTCGAACATTGCCTGCCATGTATTAAAGGCTTAATAAATGGAAGGTACCATCATTATGTCACTAAACAGCACCCCGAGCAGAAGTTTGGGAAGGATTCCTTTGTGCCTTATTAATTGCAAAACATACAGCTCTCGAGTGAACTCCCCCTTTCTGTATGCCTAACCGTGATCCCAGAGCTGTTTGTGTTTATCTTCTACACAGAGTGGGGCCACATCCCCCGCCGGGCAGCCTGGCTCAGAGCTGACAGGCCAGGAAATCTCAGACCCTTCAGAACCCTCATTTCCACTCCTTCCTGCACTGTCACCAATTCATCGAAAGCTCTGAGTGCTTATCTCACGATTGCCAGATGTCCATCTGTTTGGGATTGTCTTGAATTTTACTGCCTTGTCCTGTTTACAAACCACACAGGGCACACAATGGCCCTGTGTCAGTCTGAGACCACATAGGAGACGGGTCTCCACGCCAGCACACCAGGATCTGGTGGGTCTCTCGTCCGGCTCCTACTGTTGACCCGCTCGCTACCATGCAGGCTTAATGTAGCACAAGAGCCAAAAGAGTGTCAGGGTTGATGTTGAAGATCTGGATTTTTATCCTGACTCTGCCACTTACGATCTCTGAGCCTCAGCGTCTTCATCT